ATGGAGTATCATTCCCTTTAATCAAGCAGAGATAACCAGCAAAGCTGGAAAGATGATTTTTGGTTTATGAATTTCTTTTTCTGATAGAACTAAGACACAATTAATAATAATGCCACTGCATGTGACTTATTTTAGATACTCAGCATATTTTATGTGAAAGATATTTCCAACGTATCCATTATTAGACATGAGGGAAAGATAAAAAGTTAAGCAAAGAGATAATGCAAAATGCCCTTTTAGCAATACACACATTACACTTCGAGGTGTTCTCAGTGGACAAATTCATACTACTGCCTGGAGCACAAAGGGACTTAACTCAGTCCTATCGACCAAATATCTGACATTGTATTAGAGCCAGCCAAGACAGACCATTGCTTTCCTCTTCTTAAAGATCCCCAAGTTAGGAAATTGTACATTTTCTCTTGGTTCCTCTTCTGGTGTTTAACAGGCTTCATGTCAGTAAACTGCTTCTCATGTCTCATTTGCTGCAATTTAAGCCTATTTCCTATTGTTTGGGCCTTAGTGAAGATAGAGAACAGCTGGTCAGCATCCTCTTTCTTATGCTTAAAAACAATTATTAAGTCACCCCTCAAGGCCTTCTGATCTAAATCATCGAAATGACCTTAAATCCCTTGTCCTTTCTATATAGGTCTTTTTTTTTTTGCTTTAATTTATCCTTAATGTCCTCTGCTCCTCCACAAAAGGCCCACTTGCCTCTTAAAATGGTAAGCCCCATACCACATACAGGACTCAAGCCGTGGTCTGGATAATGCCAAGAATAGGCAGCTGATATAAAATGAAATAGACACAAACCAGTATAAGCTACATTGGACACAAATCTATTTGGGGATGATTTCTGCTTTCCCATTTGCCCTGGGGGTTGTAGAAAGCTAAGCTTGTGAAGCCAAAATAATCAATATTTATTGAAATGAATTGAATTGGAACAGGCCAGGCTTAACCATAGGCTACACCTCTAATCATGACTTCTGAGAAATAGCTCTTAAAGATGAAGGAAAATTCCTATTTTCTGTGTAAAATATAAGGCTATATGAAGAGAGTAGAATCTGATAACAATAAATGGAAATTTATACAGATGTAGATCTCAAGTCAATGTAAGGGAAAGTTTCCTAATGATTGGGGCTATACAAAAATGGAATAGACTCCCTCACAAAGAAGTGAGTTTCCTGTCACTAATGATGCTCAAAGGAATGACCATTTATAAAAATATAATAGATTCATGTATTGTCCAAGTCAGTGGCTTAAATTAAATGATATGTTATCTAAGGTTACATCTAACTCTATAATTATTTGATTCCACCAATAGGTTTTGGACCAAAATGCCCTCACCTACAGCCGAACGCTCTTTGTAATACAAAGTGAATGAGATATTCAAGAAAAAATGCTTCTTCCTTCCTCCTTAGTACATTTTCATCCTCAGTATTCTCCTTACACTACTATCCATTTGAGGTGATCCTTAGCTAACAACAATTTTCTGCTTATAGCACGTGGGGACAACTCATAACTCACATATGATTCTTCATAAAAATGTACTCCAGGTTCTAGGTACTCTGTGGATCTGTAAACACTCAAATCCATAACTCATGAGCCCCCACCAATTTGTTTACTTTTACTTGTCAGCTATAGGATTTAATTAGTTGAAAGAAAAGACATTTTAAAAAATAGCACAATAGCAGGAATAGAACTTCCCCCTAATAAACCTGAAATACACTCTCCCATAAATACACATGCTATCAGTGGGAAGAGTAGACAAACTTAAAGCACATACATGAAATGGCATATATGTAGGGTGCACATGGGTCTGGAGACATATATAGATGTACTCCCATATCAGGAATACGTATGTCCAGGACACATTCATGGAGAGAAATTCACATATCTGACACCCCAGTTTTCTCGACCCTGAGAGTCTTTTGGTTTCTCATGAAAATTAATAGGAGGGGGAAAGGTACAGTTACAAAAGCCCTTAGCTAGAATTGCTTTAGGGCATTACATTCTACTTCAATTCTTTGTTTAAAGTTCCTGCCTTCAATATTTATGTGACTAGCACAAATTTCCCTGGTCTTTGAGCCTCATTCTTCATACTTTAAAAATGGACATGAGTTCCAACTAAGGCAGATTCTCTTGAGAGTACATAGAGGTGAAACCAGAAGGAATGCAAAGAAATATGAAATGAAACAGATCAGTCGGCTCTTTTTTAGTGACTTATTTTCATCAGTGACAATTGTAGGATTATTATATTTGGCGTTCATTACCTCTATATCCAAGGAGGACTGACAATAGCATTTGAGAAGATGAGGCCTAGAAGAGAAGTGAGACCTGACCAAGATTCACACAGAATAAATGCATGCTATCAGCAACAACAATTTTAAAGACACTCACAAATCAATTATCAAAGTATGACAAAAAAGAAGATTCCAAAGGATTGAAAAAGATTGAAGATGATGCTTCCACCAAAAAAGGCAAATGAGAAGACACTAGCACCTGCCAGACTGGATGCATACTTTCTCTTCTCTATAAAATCTTTATGAGCAGATTCTTTTTAGGCATCAAGGATATCCTCAATAAAAATGTGAAAAAAGAACAGGCAGGCTTCCGAGGACCATTTTCCTGAAGCTGAACATCTTTTTATGGTAACACAGATGAGAGGTTCAGTGGACACAAGATCCCATGCTATTTATTGTTTATTGATTTTAAGGAAGCATTTGATTCAGTAGAACAAAATGCAGCCTTGAAGGCTCACTTTAGACAAGCTGCCTCTCACACGTGTAATCAGAATCATACAAGAATCCATGACAAGTATAACTGTAGAGATAACTTTGTTCTGCTATCTGCTAAACGTTAACATGCTAGTCTCCCCCAACTGCTCACTGGTATTAAATAAAAAGTTTTCCTGTTGATAACACTAATTCACACTGCTCTGATGCTTCTATTTGCAGATGATGTACTAATTGAAGAGAGGCAGCATGTTGTTGTGGCTAGAAGTCCAGGATCAAATATTAAATCCTCTGTTTAGTTTTAAAAGCCCTTCCTAACCTGGCTCCTTCCTCCCTTTCCAATCTTCTTGTTTATTCTTCCCCTCTTCCCCTGAAAATCCTGAAAAACCACTGCATCCCAAAATCCAGTGATATTGGCCTCTTTGCTATTTCTCCGACAAGGCAATTCATCTCCTGGCTCTGGGTATTTTCGTTGGCTGTGCTCCATGCCTGGAATACTCTCCCTTCTAATCTCTACTTCTCATTTCCCTGTCTTCCTTCAAGTTTCACCTAAAATCCCACCTTCTGCAAGAAGCCTCAGTTATCTTTAATCTTGTGGTTTCCTTTTGAGATTATCTCCAAATTACTTTGTCTATATATTGTTTGTACATAGGTATTTGGATGTTTTCTCCTCTATGGGCTGTGGGGTCCTTGAGAGGGCAGTCTTTTTGCCTTTCTTTGTATCCCCAGTGCTTAGGACAGCATCTAACACATAGTAGGTGCTTAATAAATGCTTTCTGACTGATGACTAACTGAATAGAGTGAGAAAATTCTGAGTTCCAATCCTGCCTCTGACACGTTTATTATCATTTCAGTCACGTCGGACTCTTTGTGACCCCATTTGGGGTTTTCGTGGCAGAAATACTGGAGTGGTTTGTCATTTGCTTCTCCAACTCATTTTACAGATGAGGAAACTGAGGCAAACAGGGTTAAGTGACTTACCTAAGGTCACACAGCTGGTAGGTGTCTGAGGCCAGGTTTGAACTCAGGAAGATGAGTCTTCCTGACTCTAGGCTGGTGCTGTATCCATTGAGCCACCTAGATGTCTCTGTCACAGATTAGCTGTTAAAACCACAGGTAAGTCACTTATTCTCACAGTGTCCCAGTCAACTCTCTAGTACAAGTTACAGATAAATTGTTGATCTGTATCAATAAAAGCATTTTACACACTGGATGGAGCACCAGCCTGGAGTAAGGAAGACTCATCTTCCTGAGTTCAAATTCAGCCTCAGACACCAGGATTTCCTACACCAAAAAACATTACAGGTCTAGGTCAAAAAAAAAAAAAAAAGAGCACTATAATTGCACTGAGTCCCATAGTACCACAAGGTTTCTTCAGACAAATCCATAATAATGTTGCATTAGTCCACAGAAACGTATTTAGATTAGTCTGTGGTGGCCTTATGAGTTGCAGCAAACTTTGAATTGTGGTATGCTTTGTGTCTCCCATAGTTTCCTAAGTTTACATGAGCCAGACATACTTGATTCCCTTATTGGAACTGGTCAGTCTTTAGCGTTGACCTGTACTGCAACACTTCATCCCTACTGGGCCATATTCTAATATTCTGACTAACTGATATATGTTGATTGACTCATGTTTCTTGTTAGATAATAATAAATAATAATAGCTAGCATTTATATAGAACTTACTATCTTCCAGGTACTGTGCTAAGCACTTTATAAATTGTACCTCATTTGATCCTTACACCAACTCTGGGAGGTAGGTACTATTATTATCTCCATTTTACAGATGAGAAAACCAAGGCAGCCATGATTTAAAGTGATTTGCCCAGAGTCACACAGCTAATAAGTGTCTGAAGCTAGATTTGAACTCAGGTCTTCCTGATTTCAGGTTCAGTGCTAAATCCTCTGAACTACTTAGCTGCCTCATCCCTGCTATGACTCCTCTTGTCTCTCCAGTTAGAGCACATCTGAAGCTTTTGACTGATGAAAAATTCAAAAATACCTATGTATCCCAGTGTTCAGAAGTCCCAGGGCTTGGTGGTGACTGCTCAGCATAAATAACATGCATCTATACCCACATATATACGTTATGTGTATGCATGTATGTGTGTAAATATATATATATATATACATACATATGCATGCATGCATACACATACACACATTTCCCCAATAAACAGTCAATTTTACCTAATAGCAATGGATGTGCTTATTTCTTGGTTCAATTCTGATGTCCTAATAGACATATCACTTCACTTGCAGGTGCAATTATCAATGCAGCTGATACTCCTGGACAGAAATGCAAGAAATCAAACTAATCATCTACATTAGGAAAACAAAGAGGATGAAAAATGCACATTGCACAAACTCTGATGGACAGATAGAAAGGCATTCTAATTTGTCCATCAGTATTTCTTGTCATGTTTCTTGGTCAGTGTTACAGATGTATAATGATCTGGGCCCCAAATTAAGCAGGAGGTGGAGCTTGAGAAGGATTACACTGGGAAATTAAACAGTGCTCTCAATTACTTCAAACTATACACTATTGAAAAAAATCTCTTCAGTACTTCTGAACAATGTCATATAGCTGTACTAATAGAATATCATGTTCTCAAAAGAATTCAAATGAGAAATAATTTATATTCAGCATTTCATCTCTAGCTTTATTAAAGGCCCATCCTGGTATGAGGCAGCTAGGTGGTACAGTAGATAATACATTGGGCTTGGAGTCAAGAAGATCTGAGCTCAAATCCAGCCTCAGTCACTTCCTAGCTGTGTGACCGTGGGCAGGTTAACCTCTGTTTGCCTCCGTTTCCTCAATTGTAAAATGGGGATAATAATAGCACCTGCTTCCCGGAGTTGTTATGAGAATCAAATGAGATAATATTTGTAAAAGTGCTTAGCACAGTGCGTGGTACCATAGTAGGTGTTAAAAATGCATATCCTCTTGCCTCCCTTCCCAGACACTGTGCCTATAATGCAGGGCCTCCACATCTTTGTCTTTGGAATATCATATTTTTGAATTCAGGTCAGATGCCACCTCCTTCATGAAACCTTCCCTCACCTCCCATCCATCTTTTAGTGTTTTTTTTTCCCTCCTCAATATTCCTAGAATACTTTCCTCACTCATTGTATCAACTTTTTATTCTTTGCATGTGTCTTATTAAACCCAGTAAGTTGTATGTTTTCTGAAGGCAGGGACTGGTTCATGTTTGCTTTTTATTCCTAGCATCTAGTTTGACTTGCAAACATGCTTAGGTGCAAAAAAAAATGAGTACAGTGAGGATGTGCATAAAAAATGTTGAATTAAATTAAGGCCAAAGGGTAACAGAAAAATTCACAGTCAGCATAAATAGACTACAACATGTTTCAAATAATGACTTGAGCATGAGAAATAGCATTATCAAGGGCATGCATGACTGGAAAAGGAGGGTTAGTCAATTATGTTGTGAGACTGAAAGACAACATCTGGAAAATCCAAATGGCTGATTAGGATTAAGACAAGCTTGGTGGTGCAGTAGATATAGCGCTGGGTACAGAGTCAGGAAAACTCATCTTCCAGAGCTCAAATCTGGCCTCAGACACTTCCTAGCTGTGTGACCCTGGGCAAATTACTTAACTCTGTTTCCTTCAGTTTCCTCATCTGTAAAATGAGCTGGAGAAGGAAATAGCAAACCACTCCAGCATCTTTGCCAAGAAAAGCCCAAATTGGATCACAAAGAGTTGGACATGTAAAGACTCAACAACAACAACAAAGAGAAAATTTGGACAGGGTCTTTAGGTAGGATTCATGTGACAATCTGGATAACAATTTCATGGGATAAAAAGGGGTTTCAGTCATTCCTTTCCCTACCACTGGAAACCTGGCTTTTGACCTCATCACTCTGCTAAAATTGCTCTCTCTAAAGTTACCAATGATTTCTCAATTGCCAAATCTCATGACATGGGTCTTGAAAGTTCCTCATCCCTCCTCATCACCAAGTACAGTTATCTCTTCCACATCACAGAGGGGTTAGGAGCATGGCACCCCTGCGTAAAATTTTTTGGCCGTCACTTCATACCAGAAGAAGTCTGAATTATTATGGTATTAAAAGATAAATATGTTGATGTTATACAGCACTATACATATATTTTATACATTTCCGAGTTTCTAAACTTTTGCTATGTCATCTGCTGGCCTTCATGTGTCATCTGCAGCTTTCACAAAACTCCCCCAAAATTCCCATTTAATTGTGATATATCAAAACTGTGATGGAGAAAGTCGAAATGTGGAAGGGATAACTGTAAAAGGATATGACAATCTATGAGCTTGCACTGTTCACAGAGCTACTCCTATCTATGGGTGGAAAAGGTGATTGCCTACCCCGTGTGATTTGAATGACTCTGGCAAAGCACCCTTGCCTAGAAAGATTTCTGTTGTCCACCTGCTACTCTGCCTGAAATTGTACCGGTAGAGGTTCATTCCTGTGGGCTAAGGCAAGACCCCTTTAAAATATAGACTCCTGAGAGAATTAATGCTTTGTGTGGTGGGTTTAAAAAAAGTATCCACATATTGACATGTACTAACTTAATTATGTCACTAAAAGTCATAACTTGAGTGAGGCTATCAAGGCTTGTCCTAGGAAAGGAAATTTAGTGGGTGCTGACAGTACTTTCCATCCAGCTGTGTAGTTCCTTCCTCTGATAGCATTGGCAAATTTCCTCCTCTGCCCAGCTCCACTCCCAGCCCCGATGGACCTCCCTATGCTACCCGATAGTTCTTTCTTTTGGTGTTCTTGATCCCCCTTCCCAGTCATCCCCACCAGGTCACACCCCAGGCTGGACCTAGCTCATTTGAAAATGTTGTTAGTTGCTGCTCTGAGATCACTTTTTTCCTAACATCAATCTATGATCCAAGGAGGGAGTCATCTCATAGGAACTGGATCAGAGATGATTAATCCCTCAATAAAAGGATTTGTTCTGTGAAGTTTGGATTCAGTCAAAGGGCCACACTTGAGGATCTAGAGGGCTATATGTGGCCTCGAGGCTGCAGATTCCCCACCCCTAGATCTAGAGATAAAAGGGACCTTAGAAATCTTCTTTTTCAACTTATTCATTTTATACATGAGGAACCTGAGGCCTAGAGAATTAAGTAAATTGCTTGAGATTGTATAGGGAGTAAGTAGCAAGGCAATGATTCAAACTCAAGTCCTCTCAAATCCAGCACACTTTCTGTAAGCCCACAGCACTGAGGAAATCGGAATTTTTATGTGGAAGAGTTAGAATAGGGCAAAGGATAATTTCAAAACAACATAGTGCCTGGCACACAGTAAGTGCTTCAAAAATGTTTGTTGACTGATTGACATCTGTATAGTCCAGGGATGACAGACCTAAGAGGAGCCCTATAGTGAGGGGTTTTGGTAACCAAGAAGACAACATTATGACAGTATTTGTTGCCTGAAAACAGAAAAATGGCACTGGGAAGTGGGAGAAAGGCAGTGGGAGAAAGGCAGTGGGAGGGCACCAAGTAAAACTTTGTCTACTTTCTAATTGTTTCCCAGGGTTTTCCTGGCTTGCATGTAGAAAGACAACTGAAAAAAATAACATGAAAATTCCTTGATTCTACCAGATATGATTGGATTTCCCCCCCCCAGAATTCACTTAATGAATCCACCATTACTTATGATCTTACTAGGCTATTTCTGCATCACAAATTTCTGAAACCAACCCATGATTGTGATTCTGAACCTACATAATTCTTAGTCCTGTTTTTGTCATCTATGCTGTGCCTGGTGAATCCAAATCCACTCTCTGTAGGTGTCTCATATTGAAGGCCTCTTTTAAAGTCCCATATACTTTTCTCAAAGCTACCTTTTTTGATGGTCATGCTCTTTCCCCAGTGAGTTTCTAAGACTCTGTTCACAGTAAATATTTTTTTCAACCGATGATACAGTCAATTTCCAACCAAAATGGGGATCAGTGAACTGTCTTATTCTTGTTATCTACCATGGACCTAAATATGGTAGGAAAAATAAGGAAATTGTTGATGATTCTGGAAAAATAAATCCTAAAGAACACTATAGGAGAGCCTGCTGACTCTCACGCATAGTGCTCACTATGTACCACTGAAAAGGAGAAATAATATGGAAGGATGGAGAAAAGTAAGTAACACTTTGAATATAAGGAACCAACTCTGAACCTTGGGTCTCATTGACCTGTAATTAGCTGCTAAGACCTCCAGCTTCTTCTCTTTGAATGAATCCAGGAAACCTTGATTTTGGTCCTAAGGGCATTCATCTTTCACTTCTTAATAAACCTCCCTGATCAATGAACCTAAGTTCAGGGCACTGAGCCTTCTGGGTCTTTCTATTCCCAGAATCAGCTTGGCTCTTTAGTTTCAGAGACCTGTCACACTGGAACCTTAATTACTGATCCTCCTTTCTCTGTCCCATCATTATTGCTAGGCACCCTTTTTCAGCACCAATTCAAATCTTTACATTCTAGTCCCTGTCTCCATTTACTCCAGACTGCAATTGTGTATTTCTTAGATTTTATTTATAATAGAATAGAAAATATAAAAATTCAGAAATAATGTAACCAGGTAGGAAAATTACATGTGTGTGTGTGTGTGTGTGTGTGTGTGTGTGCGCGTGTTTTAAATTGTCCAGTCCCAGACTGAAAGGAACCTCAGCCTTCTAAACTTATTTTGAACTAAGGTTCTCCTAGCCAGTTTGGGACTCGTGTTCTTTTCTAGGCTGGGATCCAGGTGCTACTTCATCTGCTCCTATCTTTCTATTCCTATTCTTGATCTACTCCTCACATTTTCATTCAGAACACACGCCAACTGAATTTGGGATATTTCTACCAGTATTGTCTAGGTGAAGGTCATTGACTCATTCTCCCAATCCCAGGCTCACCCTAAGCTGATCATGGAACCTCCACCTGAAGGCAGGGTCAGCTTGTGGTTTCCCATCCATATACTGTATAATGGCTTAGCTAACTAGATTCCATTCCCACCAACCCCCAAGGACAAACCAAGGGAATAGAAAACAGTTACAATGCTCCCATCATTTAAAGAAAAGAAAAGGCTCATGCTTCAAACCAACAATATTCATAACAGAAACTCTTTTCTTTATATATAAACCTCATCTTAATTTTATTGGTTGATTTGTACCCCAAGTATGCCTGAAAATTTTCTCCTTAGTCCTATAACCAAGTGAGAAGGATTTTTCTTGGTTTTTAAAAAGGAGTCTAATTCATGTGGCCTGGGGTAAAATGGGCCCAAAGTTGCTTTCTGAGGTGATCCAGATAAACTAGCCTTCTTGTTGTGCCCCAAAACTCCCAGTGCTTACAAGTAATAGGTAGGCTACCTGATTTACAGATTTTGTGGGTCTCCAGGATTATAGGGGAACACATATATCCC